ACCCACTTAAACACATCTGGTAGGCCTATATACTAACAATAGAATAAATTCAGAAGATGCTGTAAAACGGGTCTTCTGATTAAATCTAGTTTATACTTAGAAAACGTGCGTGCCTAATAATAAATCATGGGACCCCTTCCATCAGTTCAGCCTTTCTCTTCTGTGTAAAAACTCATGCGTGTGCCTTTACTGACTTGTAAATCATGGTTGCTAGGTAACAGGTATCAATTCAACTCATGGACTTCAGAGGCAGAAATTTTAGATTGGACATTAAATAAAACACAGCCGTGTCTTGCTGCTAAAGGGGTTGCTAGGTGATGAGACAGACAGCACAGGTGTCCTGGAGGCTTCTCACCCCAGGCCCGTGGAAGAATTCCTCTGAGCCGTTTGTTTGCTCCTATCTCGACAGGATAGGATCTCCTTTACAGGATAAAAGTGCTCCAACTATTTCTGAATGGCTCTTTGATACTTTTTCATTCTGTCTCAAAAAAATTTAAAAACTAATGGCCTATATCTGGATTGTCAGACTCATTACCAAAGCTTCCTTCTTTAAACATGACTGTGACAGCTCAAATCAATTACAACCTACGCTAGAGGTCCCTCAGACCCCAACCAGCTCCTTCTCAAACTTGGTTGTTTGTCCACTGAGGACTATAGCTGACCCCTGGGCCATCTCCAATGCAGAACCTCAGAACCCTCAGAGTGAAGGTTACGTCAACCTCCTTCCTGATAGCTACGGGACCAGCCGCTCCATCTTTCCTTTCCAGCCCCAACTGCTGTTGTGGACATTGATGACAAAGTCTCCCGACCTGACCCGTCTGGTGTTGACCTTTTCTAACACCCCGTTTTAGCCACCCCGCTGGCCCATGCCCCCATTAGAGCGAAGCAGCTTAACCAAGTCATCAGCTGCTCTGCCCACCCCCAGGCCACAGCCCGGACTCATCGCAGCCCAAAAAAGGCTCCTTCCCTGCCCCTCCCCACACTTCCCATCATTTCTCCAACCCCACCCCAGAGTCTGGGACACCTCAGTCCCATCGCTGGCTGCATCCCAACAACCACTCGCTTTCCCTCTCAAGCTAAATCTGCCCTCCGAGTTTCCAGCCCTGCTCAGTGACAGTCGCCCCTCCCTGGCCCGGCCGTAGGGGGATTATTGCAGCCGGTTACTTCCTGCCTACTGTGCCAGGGTCTCTTACCCCATCACCTGCCTTACAGCACCCGTCCTCCCGGTAAGGAGTCAGACAACATTTACTGAAACAAGACCTCCGTGCCGCCAATCAGGTTGTCCTTCTCCCCACGGTGCCAGAAGCCTGCACACCTGTCTCCTCCTCCACCCCTCCATCCACCACCCACTGCTGTGTCCTAGATGGAAAAGACACCTTTTTCACTGAAGCCCTGCACCTCTCCGTGCAGCCTGTCTCTGCCTTCACCTGGACAGACTCCGACACTCGCCAGTCCCGACAGTTAACCCGGGCCGTGCTCTGGGACAGCCCATGACTTGGGCCAGGCCTGTGCCCATGATTTGGTCTCCTTTCACCCGTCTTCCTCGAATCTCATACAGTGTGGAGATGGCCTTCTCCTTCCCTCCCCGGCTGAGACCGAGAGAGGTGATTTCTGCTGCAAACCCAGGCCTTCACACGGGCTGCACCCCCAGCCCTTCCTGTTTTTAATTTTGAGATGTCTCGCTAGTAGCTATGTCTCCCAGGCTGGGCTGCAACTTGCGATCCCACTGCCCCAGCCTCCCAGAGCACTGGTATCACAGACGGCCCCTTCTTAAAGGAGGATCCTGGGCTCCCCTCCCTGTGTCCCTCTGGTCCAGGTGCAGTCGCAGGCCACCTCACTGAAGGACGGGTGAGCAGAGCTCTGGCTTCACCTTAGGTGCATTCTGTCACCAGGAGGAGGGAGGGATGGGTGGCCTTGGTAGGGTCAGTTGTCACTGCATGGGTGCCAGAAGGACTGACAGGTTGCACCCCGATGTGCCGAGAAGGGCCCAGTCCACCCTGGGCAGCTCTACTGGCAGCCTGCCAGCCCCAATCCTCCTCTTGTGCCCCCTCAGCACTTTCTCGGCTGCAGCCCCGCCCTGTCCCTGTCCCTGCATGCCCACAGGAACCCAGCTTGTTCCTGTCCGAGGTGCAAATGCAGGGTCTGCCCCTGGCTTCCTGCTCCCTTCTGGGCTGCTCCGCATCCTGGCTGAAGCCCTGGATTACACCGTACTTGAAGTCCACCTGGGTTTCACTTATGAGAGCCAACAGTTCTCCCTTTGCTGTTTTGTTCATTGTTTCATCTAATGAAATCCGAACGGGGCTTCCTGAACATGGAGGAAGTCGCTTCTGAGACTCACGAGGTCATTCAAAGTATCGCGCTGTTATGGTTGCTAGAATGGGAGAGCAGCAGGAGGGGGGATTTGCTTCTGTCCCAGGAACCCTTGTCTTTCTGTTCACACCGACCTCACGGAGCACACGGGGCTGACTCCAGCTGCCCAGGGATGAGCCGCCCCGAGCAGCCCCTGTGCAGGCAGCTTCCTCTCCTGAGACCCTCTTAACCTCTGCTAGCTTTTGGATGTCACTGACAATACCACTGTTTGAGCTGGGCTTTCCGAAGGGGAGGAGCGCCTTGTCCTCAGTGGGGTCACCAGCTGGGTGCTGTGCGTTCACCATGGACTCCTCCCATGGAACCGGACACCAGAGGGATCCGCTTCTCTCAGTCAGGGATCTTAATTAACTAACTAACTAATCAAACCAATGTTTGACTGGCTTTGTGATTTAGGAGCGGTGCCCAGCCAGTGCGCATCCTTGGAAAACAGCTACATTGGGAACCCCCTACACGCACCTGTTCCAGTGGGCAGGGTGGTGCCCCCCTGTAATTGCAGCACCCTGGGAGGCAGAGGCAGGAAGATTGAAAGTTTGAGCCTGGGAAATTTAGCGACTTAGTGAGACCCTGTTTCAAACATTAAAAAAAGCACCAAAAAACAACAAACAGATAGATAGGTAGATAGATAGATAGATAGATAGATAGATAGATAGATAGATAGATAGATAGATGGCTTGAGGATGTAGCTCAGTGTGAGGGCCCTGGTTTCAGCAAACCAAACCAAACCAAACCAGGGCAAAACCAGGTGGGGGACAGTCTTCAGGGCTTCCCTGAGTGAGTATACTGAACTGCAAATCTCTGCTTGGTAAAGAAATGCTATTTCCTTTGTGTCTCCGTGTCAATTTTGTGTAAGTTAATAGCTCTCTTCACACAAAATGCCCATGCTCCCATCCCTGCCTGGGCCTCGCTGGCCTCCAGAGGACTCATAGGTGCTTAAGAAACTGCCTTGGAGGAACTAGGGGAATTTGCAACCACCAATTCAACTTTACAGAGAATACTGCAGGATATTCTAAAAAAGGAAAATACCAAGATTCCAGAAACAGTGGCAGAGAGGCCACAATGAATGGAGCAGAAAGCAAAATGAAGAAGACAAACTGACAACAAACAACAGAAAAAGAGCTCAACAGAAATGAGGCAGAGAAGATCGGATGGTAGGAACAGCTATTTTGGAGAAAACAAGACATCATAACAGCTAGTGCTGAGTTAGTATCATCTTGTTTTGAAGTCCCATCAAACTTGTATTCTTCTGTCTCCATTGGTCTTAAAAGGTTGTATCTTATTGGATTTTATTATATATGATAATATAAGCAAAAACTTTTATAGACAAGAAGTTTATACAGAAACCATTGTTCATTTTCTGTTAATTGGTTCTAAATACCCTGTAATAATGTCATTCTCTTGAATGGTTTTATAGTGTCTTGATATGTTTGGTGCAACAGTATACGAAGTTATACTCAAAGGTTTCAAGGACAGAGACAATATGGTAACTACTTTTATGTGGGGATTATCTTGTGGTGAAACACTATTTTGCTTAAATGGTTATGCTTTGACCTGCGCTGTTCTGTTGTTATGCCTCTTTTATCTCAATCCCCCTTTTTTAAAAAAATTATTTACTTTTTTCTTTTTAATTAAGGCAAAAATAAATAAAAAATAGCAGGATACATTATAGTAATCTACTTTGATTTCCTATTAACTTGATTTGAAACCCTGTATTGCTCTCACCATCTTGTTTTGACTGATTTTCCCCTATTCTGCTTTGCTTGATAGTACCAAGCTCGAAAGTATAGGCAAAACTGTGAAGACAATAAGATTCATTATGACGCCCATTCCAGTTGACTTTATCTTCTTTTAAAGTCCTGTAATGTCTCCAATGCTTTGGTTTTATTCTTTACTGTTTTTTTCAATTTTATTATAACTGGAAATTCTTCTTAAAATAGCAAGAGGCAGTATGGTAACCATTGTTGATCACCTTGTATTTTGTTTTTACATTATCTATTATGTCCATCCTTTTGATTTGACTGACTCTGTTCTGATATGTCGCATTTGGTTTTACTCTCTTCAAAAAAAGTAATAAGAACTGTGGGAGTAGTAAAACCCAAAATGTGTAATTGTCATTGTACAAAAGGAAAGAAAAGAAAGTGCTTTAAAGGTTATAACTGCATATATGTTTAAGTGTATAAGATAGAAAACCGTATTACTGAGTTTTTTTGGATCATTGAACAAAACTGTTTGCACTCTCACTGTTTGAAAGTCCACTTTATATGCTTCAATTTTGTAACTTGAACAACTATTTCTAAGATGAGAATATGTAATTTATTAACTAGTGATTTCTTACTGTTTATTTTTTAAATTTTGTATTACTTGTCCCCTTTTTCTGTTTTTTTTTTTCCTTTTTCTCCTTAAATAAAAAAAAAAAAAAAAAAAAGAAAAAGAAAAAAAGAAACTCTGCCTCGAAACCAACCTGAGCCGTGCTCAGCTCCGGACTCAGGTCTCACAGGTGGCCTGCGGAGGGTGACCCTGGTCCCCACCATCCTTTTCCAGAGTGTCCTCCCCGTCTCCTTCCAAGCCCCCAGAGTCAATCCTAGTGGCCTCCTGACTGGACTGTCCCCAATGTACCAAAGAAGCCACCGCACTACTTCTTAATGTCATTTAATGTTTCTCTCAGGGGTGCACAGGGAAGGGGCCAATAGCTCACCCTGCAAGGTGCTGGGTGAGCCTGCCACTGGTCCCTGGGGGACCTTGTTCAGCCTGGTCAGCAGCCGAGGACAATGGGAACTTGGGAAGCAGCAAGATGGGCTAATTTTAGTTCAGGACACTGGGACGGGTTCCCAAGTTGCATCACATGAAGCCTGGTGTTCCCTTGGCTTTGTTCCCCACAAGGCAAAGGTGAGTTGTGACGGTCACACGGTGTCTCTGGAAACGGCTGCTGCAGAGTGGGGCTGGCTCCTTTTGTTTTATTTTTTAGTGTCTGTGCTCCCGAAGTGAACACCTTTTGTTTCATTTTTAACCAATGTCACATTCCTGGAGGTGCCCTTTGGGTAGTAGCAGGCGCTACTGAGAGACAGGCTGGTGTGGCTGGGCGCCCAGTGCTGGGTTGGTCCCGGTTTGATCGGCCCTGACTGTGTCCTGTGAGTTCCATCCCTTCTCTGGGCTTTCTCAGCTGCATCTGTAAAATGGGCAGGTTGGGTCCAGTGGTCACTATGGTCTTCTTATCCCTAAGCATCTGTGAAGATGCCAGGTTGGGATAAGGGCAGAACAGAGTCGCCTCCTTGGCACAGGTGGAGACGAGAGGCTGAGCCCTGGGGACTGGTCCACCTGCACAGGGAAAATGCTGTCCTTCTATGATGTGGCCCAGGGAGGGGGCATGTGGTCAGCTAGGCAGGCACATTCTACCTGGATGGCTGCACTGCAAGGAGGACCAGGGTTCGTTTGGTTTTTACTTGTCTTTAGGCCAGGCCAGCGCTGCTGTATCCCTCTCCTCCCCCTTTTCAGTGGTTGATCCCTGCCAGCGTTTCGTGGGGCTGCTTCCCAGGAAGAGGGCTGTGGAGGACACGGTACCCCTAGATGTGACGTCCTAGAGGGACACAGCACACTCAGTGTCCTGACCCAGTGCATGTAGCCTCAGTCCGAGCATGGGGAGATGTCAGATGGAAAAGGAGGAGCGTTCTGCTCAGGCTGAGGTGTATGAGGTGGTCACCCATGGTTTCATGTCGTCAGAGTTAAAGGAAAGCCATAGAACTGGTCCAGACTTCAGCAGGACAAGGAGAAGTCATATCTGATCCTGGATTCTGTGCCGGGTGGGAGGAGAGGGCCGTGAAGGGGGTATCAGGCCAACGGACAGGCGGGAGCAAACATCACACCTTGTTCAGTGTGTTCTGGCAGATGACCTCTCGTGGCTCTGGGTGGCAATGACCTTGGGCTTGGCATCCACAGACCGCAGTCCTCAGGCTCTCCCACCTCAGAGGAGGGAGCTGGCTTACCTCTGAGCTTTCTGCCCTTTTGGCAGGAGGAGGTCATAGATTCCCAGGGGAACCTGACGGAATAATCAGATGTGTCGTACTTGGAAGGTTCCCGAGCTATTGGGGCCACACAAACACTTCTGATTAAGAATCCCTGGGCAGAGGGTGCCTGCTGGTTCTTGCAAGCAGCACATTCTACAGTTCTGAGGGCGGGACGCAAACCACACGGTGTTCCCTCTGAGAGATGGAAGGCTCGTAGGTGATCGTCTTCCGATATACTTAAATTAATAAATATTTTATCATGTACTGGTATTTTTGCATATTCCAAGCCCGTGACTCCTTATTATTGTGCAATGAAACACATCTTTGGTAGTACAAAAAAGTAAAATAAATAAAGTCTGGAGAGTAGAGGGCCGTGGTGTGGGCAGCTTGCTCTCAAGTGGTTCAGGGGAATGCTCTAAGGGTACAAAACTAAAATGTGGATAGGAAAAAGCTCAAAACAAATGGGTCAACGTGTTTTTTTTTTAAAAAAAAGGTGTATCGGGATGCTTTATCTGTCCATATGGTTCTCACAACATTTTTGTGCTTTGACATTTTCCAAATAAAACGAGGCAGACTTGATTGGTCTCTCGGCAGCTGGCAATCATTCAGAAAACAAACTTTTTTTTTTTATCGGTACCGGGGATTGAACTCACGACTGCCTGCTTGCAAGGCAGGCGCTTATGCCGCTGAGCCAAATCCCCAGCCCCCAGAAAACAAACTTATTGGCACATCAGTGTAAAGGAAAAGAGGGACTCGTAAGAAACTGCTCATGGCCCCATCTGGGGTGCCGACGCCATACCTGTGAGGGGCGGGGGAGAGCTAGGGGGCAGAGGCAGGAAGCGACCGCAGTGAGCTTCCCTCTGTGCTTGAACCACTGCCAAGCTTTGTCATAGGAGCCTCTCTGGGGGTAGGCAGGGCTCAAAGAGTGGCTCCATCCTCACCCCCTCCCTGTTCGCTGCTGCCCCCATTGGTGATATAAACTGTTCCCGGAATCCCACGAGGCCCAGGCTGGGAAAGCTTCTCTATGGTCAAGTGGTTAGGAGGGTCAAGGTGCCAGAAGGTGCCAGGGACACCCCAAGACAACCCCGCTTCCTCAGTCGGGAGAGCACAGCACAGAGTGTTTTAAACTCAGCTTGAATGTTTTCTTCCAGGGCTTGTGCCTCGCCTCGGACGAGCCTCAGAGCCACAGCGGATACATTAAGAAGGGTGCCCTGTGGGGAGCAGGGTACTTGGCTCCCATCAGCTGAGCCACCGTGTGGTCCCGGGCAGGTGGCTTTCTCTCTCCGAGTTCTGGTCTTCAGTCTTAAAACGAGGGAGCTGATTTACTGCAGCATCTTATCCTTTCAGAGGGTTGTTGATGCTTTTCAGAAATGAATGAAGCCCTGCACACTTGGTCCTTTGAAATTCACACAGTCTCTTCTTCTGCCCCTCATCTCTGCTCCCTACATGGGCTGACTGTCTTCTGACCTCAGAACATTCCAGAAGCCGTCAAACGAGAGTCAAATTGCCACCTGAATTCCTTTCACCCTTGAAGCGTAAACTCAGCCGTCCTCAGCTTATTGCTTGGGCTCAACTCTGGCTAGAAATATACTGAACCAAAACGTTAATTACACCTAGGAGCCACGTCTGTCTACGCAACCTGAAAATGGCCAGGGGAAAGGAGTTATTTTCCCTCTAGCTTCAGCTGAAAATCTCATCCCTTGGCCTCAGAGGGAGGGGGAACCTCTGGAAATCACAGGACCTCTCCGGCCTGCGGGGAGGAAGACATTGCCAGCCATCTGTTCATCTCTCCCGCCCATCCGACCACAAGGAGGAGAGGCTGCTCAGCAAGCTGAGACAGAGCCAATTTAGACCCATCCTCTAGACAGTACCCGGGAGGAAAATTAGAGCTTTTAATTAAGCCCCACAGGCAAGCAATCAATTCCAATTTTCCGCCTCTAATTTAGCAGAGAATTCAACTGGGCGTGTCGGGACACTATGGAATCTCATCCTGTGGATGCTGGGGTCACCCAGTGTTGATTTTAAACTTTTTGTTTTGCCTCAGCAGGCCTTCGTGGGGCTGCCTGGGCGGAAGCCAGTTCAGGCTGGTTCCGGCGAGGGGCAGAGGGTGATTAGGAATTACTGCATCAGGCACGCTGCTTGGACAACGTCCTCTGTCAGAAGAGGGGCGGACGTGGGGAGCGGGGAGTTCTGGGGGCTTCTGGTGGCTGTGGGAGATTTTCCTCTGCTTCCCGTGGGAGGTGAGCCTTTTTCCTCAGGTCCTGGGGCTGTGGATAGGCACTGGCTGGGGGCGGGGAACAGGGCAACCAGAAATTTTCAGGTTCTTCTAAACATCAGCAGTTGTTATGCTGTGCCCCAGGATGCAGAGCTCTCCCCCTGGCTGGACTGCTATGCCCACCTACCGCAGCCCCTGCCAGCGCCTGGGGTAACCCCAGCCAGAAAACCACGCAGCTGGCCAAACCCACATCGAGGGAAAGAAGGCTGCCTGGAGATGCAAAGGAGTAAAAACCAGGGGTCCCAGGAGGCACCCAAATGGTCCAACTCCCAGTGAGAGAATAATAGTTTGCCAAAGAGTAGTTATTTTTTAAAAAAATTTGCACATGCTGTAATCTCAGCATCTTGGGAGGCTGAGGCAGGAGGATTGTAAATTTGAGCCCAATCTGGACAACTGAGACCTCATTCCAAAAAAGAAAAGGGAAAGAATGTAGCTCAGTAAAAATCCCTGGGTTTGATTCCTACTTACACGTACATGCACACATATGCACACACACACAAATTATCCTGGAACAAGACTCATATGGCTATTGTCCAAGGTGCCCAGAATACAAGACCCTGCTGGTCACTTCTCAGAGCAGAGACATGGGGCCGGGGCTGACCTGATAGGGTGCAGAGCTTCCCCTGTGGGACCCACTATACAAGGAGCTTACCTAGAGGACTGTCACCGTCTGGGTGTCCCACAGACTCTGGGGTTCTAAAGGGATAGGCCCATGTGCCAGGGTCAGCCAGGGGATACGAGGAGAAAGCAGAGGGAGCCAGGGCTCCCCTGGAGACCAGGGCCAGCTACAAGCTAGATGCAGTGCTTTCCTGAGCCAGTGCCTTTGGCCTTGCCCTGTGGTCAGGAAGCTTGCATAAGATGCAGGAGTCTTTGCTAAAAACTAGCAGAAAAAGCTGGGTGCGATGGCCCATGCCTGTTATCCCAGCACTCTGGGAGGCTGAGGCAGGAGGTGCACAAAGCAGAGCCCTGCCTGGGCAGTTTAATGACTTAGCAAAATCTCATCTCAAAAAAACTTTAAAAATTGGAGGTGTGGCTCAGTGACAAGGTCCTGGGTTCCATCCCCAGCTCCAAAATAAGTACATAAATTAGTAAAGAGGAATTCCAAGGACTCGTTACCTGTAATTGATGCACCCCATCCATCCAGGCCAGGTTCCTTGGCCCCAACTCACCCATTAGTACCCTGGCCACCTTTCCCATGGACTCTCAGCCAACCGTGAGTGACAGTGCGGACGCATCATTTCTGGGAAGTGCCATAGAGGACATGGCCCACGTAGGTCTGCAGGGAGGAGCCGGCCCTGCAGGTCTCCCTATAACGCTCAGTCCCTTCCCTCCTCCCAGCCTGCAACCCTTTGAGCGTCACCATCATCCTCACCAAACTGTGAAGACACAACTCTGCCCTCCACCAAGCACTGCGGTCCACCATCCTTGCACCCCGACCCCATTTCTAGCTTTGTACCCCGAATTCCCTCCTCACCCCACCTGCCTCGTGTCTCTGGGGAGCCCTCTGGGCCCCGGCTGCTTAGTGTCCCTGCTCTGCTGTCCAGCAGAGGCCTCTGTGGGCTATGCAGGGTGGAATTTCTCTGCACATGAACAAATGTATGGAAATGGCATGGTACTTCCGTGCCCTGGGTCAGGGCCTGGTCCAAGAGCCTGTGTGGGGCAGATGCTGAGGCTGCCCTGGGTTCTGCACTGAAGAGGAAGCTGAGTCCCTGCAGGAAGAGGAGTGCAGTGGCCCTGGGAGTCTCTGTGCTGGGGAGCAGCATCCCGCCCGGTCCTGGGTATGTGGGTGGATGGGGGCAGGCTTGCAGCTACCAGCTCCTGACCTGGGATGAACTGGGAAGAGGCCACTTTAGCCTTCTCGGTTTACTGCTTCCTGAGGCTTGTCAGGAAACAGCATGGGGTGGTGAGCCCAGAGAAAGCCCTCCTCCTCGGGGAGCCAGGAGAGAGGCTCCGAGGAAAGACAGGGTTCTGCAGGTGCCACAGGAAACCCCTCATGGGCATGCACAGCCTCTGCAGGGAAAGAAACAGTGCAGATGGGGAAAGAGCCTGCCAGGCCAGGTGGGCGGCACTGAACAGACAGGCAGGGGGAGGACACAGATAAAGCCCCAGGTCTTCCAGGTCAGGAGGACCAAAGGCCACCCGGTGACATCTGTGGCCTTGCAGCCCTGCTTTGGGAGCGCTCCGGGGGCCTCTAGAGACAAAGCTTGTTTCTGGCAAGAGCGATGGGCTGGAGCCACATGCCGCACTCATGCACACACACGCGATGCCACGGAGCTACAGGTACACAGCGGGCAGGGCAGGGCCCTCGTCGGGGACCAGGTCGTCCACGTCAGCCAGGAGCTCCCGCTCGCTGGCGCTGGCCACGTGGGCACTCTGCAGGCGGCGGAGGCGAGCCTGGAACTGCTCCTGCTCCCTCTTGAGCTCCAGGTAGGAGTGGGAGAAGGTGTGGAAGATGGACGTGGCCGGGAAGGCCATGATGAGGATCCCGCTCAGGATGCTGCTGAGAGCCACCATCTGGCCGGGCACGCTGCGGGGCACCATGTCTCCATAGCCCACCGTCGTCATGGAGATGATGGCCCACCAATAGGAGGCAGGGATGCTGGTGAATTCCAGGACCCGTCCGGACTCGTTCTCGGCCACGTAGACCAGCGGGGAGAAGAGAGTGACGGCCACGGCCAGGAAGAGCAGCAGCAGGCCGAACTCGCGGGCGCAGCGGCGCACTGTGAGCCCCAGCGTCTGCAGCCCCAGCGAGTGCCGGGCCAGGCGCATCACGTAGAGGATGCGCAGCGCACGCAGCACCCGCAGCACCAGCCCCACCTTCTCCAGGTAGGAGCTGCCGCCCGGTCCCTCGCCGTCCCCCGGGGGCTCCTCGGACACCACCAGCGACACGTAGTAGGGGGAAATGGCCAGGATGTCGATGATGTTGAGGGGTCCTTGGAAGAAGCGGCACTTGTTCCGGGCCTGGACGAACCGCAGGCAGAACTCCAGGGAGAACCAGGCCACGCAGATGGTTTCCACGACAAAGATGTAATAGCATTTGCGAGAGCATTCACCCTGTGTGGGGAAAGCAACAGAAGGCAGGAGGGGTTGGCGGCCCTGGGGAAAGGAGACAGCTTGGGGAGAGCTGTGTGGCCTGAGCCCTGTGCATAGGCTGGACTCCCCACCCCACTCCTTCTGTGCGGTTTTCAGGTAAAGGCAGGTACGTGACGGGTCAGCTGGGTCGGAGACCACCATGTCCAGCCTCCTTTTCTAGCCAAGTGTGGCCAAATGGCCAAGTCATCACCTACAGAGTCAGACACTGGTGTGAGCTCCTGCACCCCGCTCAACCCTTCAGCAGCGGACACAACCCAGATGGGCTCCAACCAACCCCAGCAGGCAGACAGAACCAGCACCCCAGGGAAGGGAACATACAAGTGGAAAATCTGGGTCTCACAGAGATAGCTGCCCATTTGCATGGGTCCCTCCCCTGGGGAGTAACACAGGACAAAGATAAGCACCCACTGTGTTGGGAAGCAGGGCTATCCTGGTCCCCTCGTGACAAGGTGATCTCTGCTGTCACTGAGGCAGGCATCTTTGGGTACCACCATGGCTTGGTTGCTACGAAGCAGGGAGGATTGCCATGAGTCCAAAGTCAGTGTGAGCTACCTGAGTTCCAGGCCAGCCTGAACTACGTAAGAAGACCCTGTCTCAAAACAACACAAAACAAAACAAAAGCAAACGGAAAACAAACCAAAAACCCCACAGCAAAAGAACTTTAATGTGCACTTATCACCAGGGGATCTTGCTAAACTGCAGATGGTGAGGCTTGAGCCACACGGCAATGCTGTGAACTGGTGGCACAGCCTCGTTATACGCCCAGGAAACAGTCACAGCAGTGCAGTGACTTGCCTGAACTCACATATCCAGTAGGTGGTGGCATCCAGCTCCATCCAGGTCTCTGAGCCACTCCAGGCAGCTGAGTAACTTTTCCATGAGCTGCCCTTCATCCCTCTGAGGCCTGCTTTGTGCCAGGCACAGTGGCAGCTCTGGAGTCCAGGTCAGTGGTAAAACAGCATGGTTCTGGGGCCTGGGAGGTTGGCCTGGGCGATTGTCCTGCCTTAGTGACCTGAGGCTGAGACCCTCTGTGCAGGGGCCCGGCAGCTTCCAGCCACATGGAGCTGATCTGTGGTCACCATTGTGTGGCCTGGCTTTTCACAGAGCCCCTCAGACCCTGGCTCCTCAGAGTGGGATCCCAAAGCACCTGCCTCCCCTGGGACCTTGGTAGGACCACCCTGCCTCGTCATTTGTATTTTAGCAAGATCGCCTGGTAATTTTTTATGCTGTGGGTGTTTTGATTTGTTGGTTTGGGTTCTGGTTTTCATTGTTGTTGTTCTGTAGCCCAGGCTGGCCTCAGATTCCTGGCGATCCTCCTGCCTCAGCCTCCCGAGTGCTGAGCTTACAGCACCACCACGCTCAGCACATTCCAGTTTGAGAGGCTGCTGTAGTTCCTAATCTTCAGCCTCAGGTGCACATTAACATCCCTTGGGGGCTTGGAAAACTTCTGACACCCAGGACACTCCCATCCCAAGATTCTGGTTTAATTGATCTAGGCTTTAGCTCCAGTGGTAGAGTTTTCCAGAACCCCTCCCTGCCCGTGATTCTATGTGAACCCAGAACCTCTCCCCGCTGCTTTCTGCCAGGAGTCGGGGCTGGGGAGGTGCAGCCCTAAGTGCTCATGGGCCAGGTTCAAATCCTGACTCTTTATTTTTTCAGTTCTAAGGATTGAAAATACTAGGACCTTCACCCTGAGCGACACCCCCAGCCCTTTAAAAAGATGTTTATTTAAAAATTTGAGACAGAGTCTCACTTTGTTGCTAAATTGCCTAGATTGGGCTCCAGTTGTGATCTTGCCTCAATCTCCAAAAGTGCTGGGGTTACAAGCCTGCACCACCACGTCCGGCTTCAAATTCCCACTCTCACCTGTCTCAGCTCGCAAAGGCTGCTGTGACAAGGGGACACGACTAGCACACTGGCCCACATCAATGCCCTGCTCTCAGACGGTGCCTGCCTGGTGAGTGTGAGGGCACCGTCCGCCTCCTACTGCTGGATTTTACGGGACGCTGAGCGTGTTGTGTGACTCAGCAAGAATGCTCTGCCTCACCTGTCCAGGGTTCGCTCCAGGACCCTGGGGAGCTCAGGAGTTTTGGCCCCTGTTTCCTAGTCCTGCTCCAAACTCACTACGTGACCTCAAAGCCATCCCCACGTCTGTCCTCTCTGTGCTTCAGCTTCCAGTGAAGAGGCTGGTTGGATTCACTGCCACCCAAAGCTGGTTCAGAAAACCTCACATGTGAATCCCCAAGGGTGCTGGTGACAAATGCATATTCTGGGGAGCCATCAACAAACCCAACTCTGGAGTGGGGCCCAGGACTGCGCATCTGGGCAGCTCTCCCCTTGAACTCTGAACACATGGAAGTTCTAGACTGGGCTCGATTCTCTCCTCCAGGCCACCTTCTTCCGTGGCATCTGGGAATTTCCACCTTGGCACCCTGGGAATAGAGGAGGGTGACTTCCAGCGCCGAGGAGGCTGGGTGGTGTGACGGCTGCCTGCAGGCCTGGCCAGTGCTTGGCTATTCAAGCCATGCACACCCCCTCCATCCTCCCGGCCTGGCCAGCTCCTCCCACACTGCAGCAAGCAGCTGTGAGTCACTGCCTGCCGCACCTGGCTCTGCTCTGCATCCCTAACCAGCCGGGCACAGGCACCGGGCAGAAGGGTCAGGCCTCTGCAGCTGCACTGGTGCCCTGGCATTTGGGGCTCCAGCTGGACCCCCAGCCCAGCCAATATTTGCAAGAGAATAGAAAGAGGAGAAGGAAGGAAAGTTTCTCTTGTCTCTCTGAAGAAGTTCCTTTCTGGTTGTATTTTGTAGGGAGAGGAACAGCTCATCCTGGTTTGCTCCATCTTCCTGGGTTTGAGCACAGAAACTTAGGGTCCTGGGAGCCCCCTCAGTGCTAGGCAGTGGGGATAGTGGGTGTCCTTGTTTGTGGGGCTTGTCCCTTCTTTCGGGAATGGCTGTCAGGATGGTGCTGCCATGGGTGTGGCAGGCTGAGGGGGAAAGACCACGAGGGAATGTTCTAGGGTGAAGACTGCATGAGGTTAGCTATGAAAAGACACAGTTAAATATGTGCTCTGCAGCCATGCACAGTGGCACACATCTAAATCCCAGCACTTTAGAAGGCTGAGGCAGGAGGGTTACAAGTTTGAGCCCAGCCTAGGAAACTCAGTGAGACCATCTCAAAAAAAAAAAAAGTTTAAAAAAGTGAAAAGCAGTGTGGATGTAGCTCAGTGTGAAGGCGCTACATTCAATCACCAACACTTACCGCACCCCCAAAAAGATGTGTGCATTTCAATGTAGGTACATGTTATGTGCAAAACTGTGAGGCAAAAATAATAATACTGATAAAAAGTGATTGGGGAGGAAGGAAAGAAGAACAGAATGGTACTGCTTGCTGGTATACTGGAGCATTTTGTTCACTTTGTAAATGTCTAGAATTCTATAAAAGTAAAAAAAAAAAAAAAAAAAAAGAAATTTTAAACATTTCAAGCCATCATGAGATACCACTTTACCCCCAGGTAGGACAGCTAGCATCAAGAAGACAGGTGACCATGATCTCCTGGGAGGCTGAGGCAGGAGGGTTGCTGCAAGTTCAAGGTCAGCCTGAGTTACATGGTTGGACTCTGTCTCAAACAAACAAAACAAGACGATGCACATGCTAGCAAGTGCTGGTGAGGCTGTGGGGAGGCAGGAGCCCTCAGCACCCGTGGGTGGGAAGGCAGCTCCTCAGGGGCGAGGCTGAGAATCAGTGCGGGACCCAGTGAGTGACCAGAGAGGACCTTGGAAGCCGAAGGCCCCACACTGCAGGACCCCATCTACTCGCAGTGCCCCAAAGTGGCCAATCTAGAGACAGAGGGAGCGAGCAGACCAGCCCTTGCCAGGGACCAAGGGGGCAAGGAATGGGTGTGGCTGCTGTGGACCTTGGGGTTGATACAAGATTCAGGAGTAAGACGGTGCTGGTGGCTGGACCACTCTGAGAATCGCTGAAACCCACCGAAGGTGCTCTTGAGTTTTTGTTGCTGTTGTTTGTTTTACGACAGGGCCTTGCTAAATCTCTAGGCTGGGCTAGAATCTGTGATCCTCCTGCCTCGGCCTCCCCGAGTGCTAGGATTATAAATGTGCACCACCACGCGGGGCTGAGTTGTGCACTTTTAGAGAGTGACTATTATGGTATGTGAATCACATCTTAATAAAAAAGACTCCAAGGTCCTCAGCCCAGCCTGGGGGTGGCAGTGAGTAGGTCCAGCGGGCACCCTTCATGGAGCACCTGGACAGAGCGCAGGGCTTCCTGAGAGTGCTGCATGGGTGGGCACCGGGCAGCTCTGCAGATCTCGCTGTGAGGCGTGAGGGCTGACTGGAGCCTTCGTGCTCCCTTCAGCCTCTGCGGCACCGCTGCAGTGTCCCTCAGGAATCCCACATCCTCACCTCCCTGCAGCCTGCTCCCCACCCCAGGCTGCAACTCGGACTCTGCCTCAGCACCCCTGGCTGCTTCTTGGGGCCTGAGGTGCTGACTCACCCTCCCCTGGTTTCTCTCTTCCCCAGAGGGCCACCGCTCCCTGGCCTCCTCGGAGCCTGGAGCCCTGCGCAAGCCTCCCTCACTGACCACTCCCCCAGATTGCCCAGGCTCCTCTCTGCTCCCTCCCAATGGCCACCCCCACTCTGGTCCTGGGTCATGAGCTCTGGTCTCTGAAGGCGGCTCCCCTTCTGTAGCATGGGGCCAGTGATTCCTGTCCTGCAGGGCAGCAGTGGGCACCAGGGGACCCCTGCCCTGGGGCTGGCACTGCAGAGGCGCTTCCTGGTCTAACTGCCCTTCCTCGTCCTCCTCCTCCTCCCTGTCCCTTCCCTCTTCTCCCTCCTCCTCTTCTGTAGCTGCTGCCCTGGGCCCATCACCATGAGCAGTGAGGTGGCCACTGCTCCACTAAATATAAAAGCCCTGAGTTGCTGAGCTCTGGCAAGCCAGGAACCTCATGGGCCTCAGTCTTTCCACCCTTGGAATGGGACTGTCATGGGGATTAAGATTAGATTAGATTAGATTAAGAAACCAGGGGAAATAACTGCACAGGGCTGGGTCTCACAAGCACGGTTGGATCCTCATATCCACTGGTTTTACAAACAACCTTAGAAAATAGTCAGAAGGAAAGCTTGCTCTGTACTGAACACGTTCAGATTTCTTTTCCTGTAAAAATCTAGTTCTTCAACAACCCAGCATAACAACTATTCACACAGCATTTGGAGCATGGTAGATTTTATAAACCACTAGACATGACTGGGCGTGTATGGAAGGATGTTGTACCCTGCACTTTTATATAAGGGATGTGGGTTTTGGTACCCAAGTGGGTGAGGAGTGGCCAGTCCCTGGATACACAAGGACACTCTATTAGCTCCAAATCTCACTGTCCCATTGCTCTGCTGCTGTGTCCTGGGCGGTCACCTCAAGGAGAGTCTAGGCCAGGACAGAGGGAGACTTGATGGGGCAAAAAAAAACCCTCCAAAGCCCAAGTAAAGCAGAAATCACTAGAGCAGTTACCAAATGTCAGTGAACACCGAATGGCTGGAGAGACCAGGGCCTCCCTGGGAAGGGGCGGGGCGGGAGGGCTGTGGCGGGAGGGTTTTCTGGAAAGAGCAGGCAGCAGTGAGTAGGTAGAAACTGCAGTGAGGAGGTGGCCAAATCAGAAGGCACAGGAAGGCATGGCTCCTGGAGAGGGACTTGGCAGCCTCCCCCACCCCCACCCTCCCGGAGCTTTAAAACGCTCCATGTAGCTGGTGTGGTATCCGAGGTCAGGAGGGTTGAGGGTGTAGCCTGGGCTACACAGAGGAATCTTTTCTCAAAAATGAAAAAACAATAAACCGTGAAGCTCCCTGGTCTTCCTTTCTCCCTCAGTCCCGTCTCACTGAGGAACCAGCACAGACCAAGATCCACACAGTCCCCTGCTCCCCGAGCCTGGTTCTGTCAGGCCCATCAGAGGGGCCCCGAGGAAACCCAGGGCTCCAGGCGCCTGTGCCTCTGGCCTGCTCAGGCACCTGGCTTGGCTCCTTGCTCCTCGTTTTAGCTCGTGATCTGGGGCACTGACCTTTCACCTTCCTGAGCACCCAGCCACTGCTGGGGTCACTGCAGAAGTGAGGAGAGACAGGTAGGAGCCAGTACCCTCCAGGCCCTCCCCTCCAACAAGTGTCACTGCCTTCCATCCCAGCGGAGCTCTGTGCCCCGGTGTGGCATTAACTTATCCAGGTGGAGGCCTTCAGAGCCGCTGGACTTGGCTCCAAGCAGCCCGGCTCATTTAGTAGGGATGCACTAGCCTAGCATCCCCCGGGGCAGCCATGAAATATGCAAGATGGGGAAGGAGCAGCGGGCTTTATGTAAATGTGAGGCTCCGACTGGAATGAACGAAGCTCCTCAGCCTCCTCCATCTCTGAATTACTGTCCCAGCCCCAGACGCAGCCCCTCTCTGGCCTGTGCTTCTGAGGGGTCTCCAGCAGCGTGCGCAGAGGTGGTTTCCCTGCAAGGACACAGAAAGGTCCTGCAGCGGGCTATGAGCATATCCCCCTCCTATGCCCGGCACGGGGCTGCCTGATTCCTCCTCTCCAACTTTGGGTGGAGGAGGAATGGGGTGAGGAGAGGGCTTATTCCGTCCTAATCTTTCAACTACAGAGTCCACAGGTAAACATCTCTGCGAGCAAGCAGCCTTTGAAATTGCATGCTTTTGTGCTGAAGACTGAAAAGATGCTTCCCAGCAGGGGACACAAGGGTGGGGTGCTGCTTGAAAAGTCCAAGGATTTTGGTTATCTTTTTTTTGGTGGGGGGACCAATCTCTGTGGATTGCGTGAAATACATTCCGTTCGACAGGTGTTTATTGAGAGCCTGTATGTGAGGGATGGGCTGGTTTTCCATCTGGAAGTTCTCTGACCCCGCTGGCTTGCCCTGGGAGACCTGTCTGCAAAGGAAGGGAATTTAGGAGCTGTGGCGCTGTGAGGAACGTGTGTTTGTGTGTGTGTGTGTGTGTGTGTGTATTGGCTCTCTCCTGTTGTGAGCACGACAATGGTGAGCCATAGGGTAGTACAGATTGGGAGGAAGGGCAATGGTTCCTAGGAGAAACGATCTGAGCCTAGTTTGAGGTTGTCCAGTAATCCTGCCAGCAATCTCCTAGGTTCCCGCTTCATGTCTCAGACCATCTTGTCCCCGGGCAGCCTTGGCATCTCCCCCAGCTCCAGAGAGAGAAAGTAGGAGAGGGTAAGCAGCCCGTCTGCCCCAGCCTCCTGGGGCAGGGCCGCTTACCCATCAGCCTCCCTGAGTCCGTCCACTGAGACTTACCAGGGACTCTGGCTGAGACACAGACAGGACGACCAGGGCCGAGAGGCTCTGCCGTCACCGATATGCTACAACGGGAGCAAACACATCCCGGATGTCGGCTTCCTCGTCTAAAAGTGGAGCTGGGGCACCAAAGGACTGTGAGCTCAAAGAGGCAGGATCTGCACCAACAACCAACACAAAGTAGCTGCTTAGTTAACACCCAGTGAGCACGATGTGACCCTTTCCTGCAATGCTATACCTGCTACAAAGAGGAAACTGAGTCCTAGAGAGGTGATTGTCCCCAGTCACAGAGCTGGGGGAGCCTGGCTGAGCCTGCTTGGCCCACTGAGACCAGATAGGGTTTTGCCAACATCCGGGATCCCTTACCAGAGCCAAGGGCACAGTGACTTTGGAGGGCCCAAGCACTTGGGCCTTTGAGAGCCCATGCTTCAAAAAAAAGAGAAGGAAAGAGATCTCCTGCGAACACAGTGCCCACGGGACACTATTCAGTTTTTCCCGCGTGCTTTAAGAAATGAAGACCTTTGCATGGAGTTCTTGTGAGATTGGGGTACCACTCCGTGCCCCGTGGAGGCCACTCACCTTGTCTTCCTCCGCCCGCAGGTCTGGCATGGTGCTGACGCACAGGCTGACGGCCGTGGTGGCCACAAAGAGGATGGACAGACAGGCGAAGACCTTCCCGGGCAGCCCGGACTGCGGGTCGTCCACCATCTGGCGCAGCCGGTTCATGCAGCGGCCCCAGCGCGAGGGGCGCGCCGCGGGTCCCGCGGCCTGGCGCCCCAGCTGCAGCGCCTCCTCCCTGCGCAGCTCGGCCGCCTCCTCCAGCTTCCGCAGCAGCCTGCGCAGGCAGCAGCGCTCCAGCTGGGCCTCCTCGATGCCCCAGTAGGCCAGCTCCTCGCGGAAGGACAGTGCGCACATCTCCTGAAGCAGCATCAGCTTCCCGGCCGCCAGGAAGCTCGCGATCACGCTGAAGGCGCTGGGACTGCGGTCGAAGAAGAACTCCTGGCTGTCGGCGTCGTAGTCGTCACACAGCTGTGCGATCTCCTCCAGACTGCTGCACAGCCGGAGCCTGCTCAGGCGGCTCAGCGGGAAAGCGTCCAGCGTGGTCCAGGGCAGCAGGTACCTCCGGCCTCCCACATTAACCAGGATCTCCTTCTTAAGGTCGGCAGCCGGGCAGGTGTCCACTGCACCCAGCCTCCGTGCCCTGCAGTAGTAAAGGCCCTTGACTGCCCGAGGCTCCAGGGGGCCATGCAGGGGCTGGCTCAGGGGGCTGCAGTCGCTGTAGAGATGGTGCCGGGGATGCAGGCCCCCGCCTCTGGAAAGTGTGGGCATCCTGGAGGCTATCAGGTGGGCAGCTGGGGTTCACCTGTCTGACATGAGGGCAAAGCAAGGGGATGCAGAGAAATCAGTCTCAGGGCAGAGTCCTGGGCACCCTGGGCATTTGCTTCCCAGCAAACGCTTGGTGCCTTTGCTGACACTTTCCCTGACACAGTTATTAGGCAGGGACCATGTGCCTGGTGTGTATCAGTGAACTGTCCCCGGCCCAGAGGAACAGAGCTAACAGATCCGAGGCATCTGCCTGGAACGAATGCTAGCATCCAGCTGGGGACCTGAGGATGGTTCTGAGCTGGACCGGGCAGACCCGTGCCACCTTCTGGCTGAGTGGCATGAGGCTGATAGCTTTGCCTCTCTGATCTGAACCTCATTCATTACAAGAATCAGACTGGCACCATTCTGCTGGGGACAGCAGGTGGGATTCAACATGCCAGGCCCTCTGCTTGCCCTGTGTGACTGGGACAGTGTAACGGCCACACTGGGGCCATGTCTGGGGCATATGCTCACCGTCCCCTAATTAACTCATCTGAACACTCCTCCAAAGAGTGCACAAGGGCGCTGCCACTCAGAGACAAGGAAACTGAGGTCCTTCCAGGTCAGCTAGCACCTGCCACCCTGCAGGACTCAGTGAGGGCTGTCGAAGGCCCAAGGATACAGACTGTGCCTGCTACCCGTGGCGTCTCACCCAGGAGTTGCTTGACGGTGACCACCCCGTTTCTTGATCGCTTTCTCCCTTGGGAATTCTCTAGGGTGCTCCACCCTGCTCCAAGCAAGCTGGCCTCGGCCACCCTTGCTGTGTGACCTTGAGCTAATTACTCCCCTTCTCTGGGCCTTGGTGTCCTATCTACAAAACAAAGGGCCCTCCAGTGCACTCCCTGTGTCAGACCCCTCTGGGGCACTTGACTGCAGATGCAGCCCAATATTCTTACAAAACTGTCCCCACAGTGTCTCTCCCCGTCAGCACCCTGCCACCGCCAGCCGGAGCTGTCTCCGGAGCTGCTTACATTCCAGGTGAAGTCCAATCAGGTGGCTGAGTGGAAGTCACAGCTCCTCTCAATTTCAGAGCCAGGTGGATTCCAGCGGACGTGCAGAGTGACAGCTGGAGCGCTTCTCCGGGCCCCACTCAGGGCTCTCTAAATCTGCAGCCAGTCACAGCAAAGGAGAGGAGTGCAGCCTGCGGGAGAAGAGGCTTTGGAAATCCCAGGAGCTTTCTGAAGCTTTCCGGTTTTCCAAGTGCAAAAGCCCAGACTTGGAGAGCCAACGTGACTTGTCCAAGGTCACACAGCAAATCCAAATCCAGCCCAAGACTCAGTTTCCCAGAGTGGGGCTCTTTCCAGAGCCTGAGCACTGCCCTATTTGCACTCAATGAACAAACCCAATTTTGCACACACACACAACAGCTGGCAGGCAAAGCTGCTTTAGAGCCCAGGAAGGATGCTCACTCCAAACAGTGTTTTTGCCAGAAGGCTTTATGGCATTGCCCGCTGATGTGCCCCCGCCCTGGAACAGATGCCCACTCCCTCCCCTGAAGCTGAACTCACCCTCTTGTCTCCGGGAGGCTGCTTGCAGCTGTTTCTTAGTTGAGGGAAGGGAGCCCATGTCCTGGTGCCCGGGGAAGGGACAGGTCTCTGGTGGAGGGGGAGGGGAGGGAACAACTCCCCAGTGCAGCAGTTTCTGGCAGAGTTAGTGCCGGTCTCCACTCTGGCCTCCTCCGGAAACCAGAAGTTGAGCATCTCTCTCGGGCATCTGCAGAGGAGCCCCAGGGCAGTGGGCAGGTTTGGGGATGACCCTGGAGCCCCTTCCTCCTGAGAGGCCAGGGTCTGGAGGCCTGCGCTAGAGGGAGTGGGGCCAGTCCTGCCTCAGAGGCGGACTTTGCGCTCCAAGTCCTATGAGGACAGCCAGGACCAGCGTGGTCCTGCAAGGGGGGATGGGAAGGGCTTAGGAATAATCTCTCCATCAGCCAGGCAGCAGGCAGGAGCCGCTGCAGCTCTGCCAACGCCAGCCGCTGGAAGGCAAGGAGAGCTGTCCTCCCTCCCTGCTTGGAGGAGCGCGGCTTGGGAGGGGCAGGGGTGGCTGGGTCCAGACATATGCAGCTTCCCATGTGCCGGTGGCTCCCAGTGCCCGTGATGTGCGGGGCTCGGATTAGGGCTGCCAGAGGAAGTTTGCTGCCTTTAACCAGCCCAGCCGGGGATAGCTGGGGAGAGCTGGGCCTTGGAACCCCGGGTAGATGGGGGAACTGCACTGGGGAAGGAGGGTAGGATCGAGTGTGAATGGGGGCTCCCCCACACTCAGTCCCCAGCTCTGATGCTAAATGCTGCCTATTGATCTTGGGCAGGCAAACCAGCCCCTCTGAGCCTCAGTTTTCTGGTCCATAGAAAATAGGGGACTAGAACAGAGGGATTCAGGAAGCAACAAATCCCAGCCACCAGAGCCAGAGCCTGCCCTGGGGTTGGCCCTGGAGAGGGGGGAGAAGACGAGATGTACACGGTGGGGGCCGGCTGGCCAGTGTGCCCCGGTGCGTCACCTCACCTCTCTGGTCAGATGAGGACAGTTGACGTGGGGCAGGCAAAAGTGCAAAGCCGTGTCTGACGCAGGCAGGCGTCACTGTGCACAGTGGTTCTTCCTCATTTTCTTAAGAGGCTCTGGCTTCTGAAGGGAGGTGACTTTCACAACTCAGTTTACAGCCCAGGCCCCACGAGGCTTGCTCAAGGGCAGGGTCCTCGCAGAACAAAGACTCGGGGTCCCCTCTGGACCCCAGCGCCTGCGCTTCCTGGCTCCCCAGGGACTGGCCATATGGCAGAGGCACCAGGCAAATGGATGTCCCAGTGTGGCTTTTAGACGGTGTCGTGACAGCCGCCAGGGTCCTGCAGAAATGGCTGAGGGCCTGGCGTGGGGCTGTGGTGGCTGAGAGGACAAGGGGAGACCCGGAGCCAGTGTCCACACAGAGCCCACCTGACTCCCCTCAGTACACAGGTTCAAATCCAGCGCTTACCTCTTCTGTGCTGTGTGCCCTGGAGCAAGAGCCTTCACCCCTCTGGGCTGCCCTTCCCCATCTGGGACTTGAAGATTATGGTGTCCCTGTAGCACCGTCGTGCTGAGCAAACCAGCACCTGCATGGTTCTGAGTATCAGCTGTGCGCTGTTTCCCAAGTCTCAGGGCAGACTAGGGAGAAGACAGGAAGAAGTCTGCTGCTGAGGAACCTTCTTATCTATTTATTTATTTTAAAATTTTGGTGTTTTGAGATAGAGCCTTGCTATGTAGCTCGGGCTGGTCATGGACTCTCCATGCAGCCCAGCTGGCCTTAAACTCACAGTGGTCCTCCTGCCCTGGCCTCCCAAGTGCTGGGATCACAGGCGCTCGCCATCACATCTGGCAAGAAAACTTTTTAAGTATCGAGGCCAATCTGCTGATCTAGCTCGAGCCTCCCACCCCAGGAGCGACCCTCTGACCTTCACTGCCGCCCAGGGTGGGTGGGGCTGGGCACAGTGAAGGCTCACAGCCCAGAGCTCTTCCTTAGCACAGACTGAGCCTGCGTGCAGCCGGGCGGCCCCTCACTCCCCGGCGATCACGGAGTCCTGCCTGCCTGTGGGACATCTTATCTTCCTCTCCCAGCGTTTCACCCTTACGCAGACTCTTGGGATGCTGGACTCGAGGCCGGGCCCCTCCTTGACATCTTCTGAAGAAAGGCTCCTGCCTTGTCCTCTGATAAAGGGACTGCCACACTGGGCCAACAGCTCTCCTGTGCCCCTGCAACAATAGCGCAAATGGGTCTCCTGAGGATAACACCAAGGTGGGGGCAGGCTGCATCCCCCACCCCGTGCTGTCTTTTCCACCCCATAAAGGCCGCCTGCATCCCTGTGCTTGTGGCCTCTTCCTCCCTCTTCAAAGCCAACAATCTACCTACTTCTGCTTCCAGGTTCATCTTTCCCCTCTAATTGAGATGTACATTGTTCTGTTCTGATTTGATTTACTGTTTTGTTTTATTCTCTTTAAAATAAAAAAAGTTTTAAATAAAATAAAATAAAAATGTCATTCTAAACAATGCTAGTGTAGGGCTGGGGATTTAGCTCAGTGGCATAAGCGCCTGCCTGGCAAGTGCAAGGTTGTGAGTTCAAAAATCGGTACCAAAAAAAAAAAAAAAAAAGATAAACAATACAAGTGATATGGGACTTCAAAACAAGACTACAGGGGCCGGGGATTTAGTTCAGTGGCACAAGCACTTGCCTGATAAATGCAAGATCATGAGTTCAATCCCTATACTAAAAAAAAAAGGAAAAAATTTTAAAAATTTTTAAAAAACTAGCTGTTCATACCATCACACACAATAAAATAAAATAGAACAGAATCAAACCAATCAAAAGAATGAGAGCATTATAAGGCTTTAAAACAAGCTGATAGGAAATCAACAGTGGCTACCATGACGTCTGATTTTAACAGGATCTAGTAACGTAACTATTGCTGATTTCCAGTGATCTTGTTCCGAAGCCCCATACCGCTTTCATGCTTTTGTTTTGATTGGTTTGATTCTGTTTTGGTTGATTTCACTATGTGGGAAGCATCGCTGTCTCTTCTTACAGGAGCCCTGGGTCTCCACCTGCAGGAACAGCTGGCACCAGAGACTCCGGGCTGCCGAGAGGGTGAGGGAGCCGGGTGAGCAGTGATGAGCTGTTTGCGGATGGAAAAGCTCCTGGTCTGTGACGGTTGCCAGTGCCAGTGGTGTGAATGCTACTCCGTGACCAGCTTCAGGCTAACAGCAGAGTGCCACGGAATGCAAAATAGGGATGGGTGACAAGGACAGGCCCCTGTGCCTGTCGGCTACTGCAGTCATGCACATGTGGCTTCCAGCGAGGTCACAAGGGGTCCCAACAGTGGGACCCTCGGTTATACCATGGACAGGTTCGCAAGCTGGGGCAGGTGTTGGCAGAGGGGCAGCTGGGCTGGAGAAGGGTGCGCCCCGGAAAGCGAAGCCAATCTGACCTCAGCAGAGAATTGGTATGGAGGACCCGATGCCAGAAAGAGAAACAGAGGCAGGTGGGAATCAGACAATGATGGGCCTTCCATGCCCTGCCAAGAATGGCCATGGCCCCCAGGCGTGGGGAGCTCCTGGTGCGCTCAGAGCCACGGTTTCCACTTGGAACATTCCAGCATCACCTCGAGGCTCTGAGAAGTCTGCAGTGCCTGGGCCACATCCAGGTGAACTCGGAATCTTGGGCTTGGAGCTCCACTTACAGGACCGCGCGACCCCAGCTGGTCCCAGTGTGCTGCCAGGTGTGAGAATGATCACCCACGCCCGCTCTGCAGTTTGCTCATGCCCCAGGTGTCACAGGAGGGTGGATACTGGTCACTCCTTAGGGCCCCTCATGCTACCAAGCCACAGAGAAAATGCAGAACCCTCAGACCCACAAGCACAGATCGGAAGAGTGTTTTGCAGAAATAATTGTGGATGTGTGCAAAAGTACAGGCATGGAGATGACTGGACAATCCCCCCCGAAGGGGCTGGTGAAATAAATGATGGTCGGAAAAGCAAACTGTAGCTGCAGAGGACCAGGGGGCCTGTTTAGCCTGCCGCCGAAGAACCAGGTAACGTGTGATGTGGGGAGATCACACCATGAGCCCTGGGCTGTGCCCACACACGCAAGAAGGGTGTGTGTGTGTGTGTGTGTGTGTGTGTGTGTGTGTGTGTGTTCTGCTTCTGAAAAAGGGTAGGTAATGAGGAGCTGCACTGCCCTCGGAGGGAACCTAAGGATCTTGGAGAAAGGAGTACAGGGCAATTTCACTTCCTCTATTTATTGTGATACTGGAACAAGGGTAAGAGGCAGCCTGGTGTCAGGGAAGCAGCCTGGAAGGGAAAGGGTGTTCATCAAGCCAGGCCCACAGAAGTGTGTATGTATGTATATGTGCACTAATCAAAAACTATGGCACATCTGAACAGGAAAAATTTACTGCAGTAAAAGACACGATCCCATTGATCCCCTTAAAATCCCCCCCGCTCACCTCAAACCCACCCATCTCATCACCGAGTGGCCTTTGAAGCTCTCCTGAAGGTCCTTTTCATGGTGTCTTTATAAGATGTATCCAAAATACGGTGGCCGCTGCTGCTGAGTGCTGTCCACAGGGAAGTGGGGCTCGTGGAAAGAGTCAGCGTGTCCTTGTCTGCCTTGCTCACGGGGTCTGCCACGCTGCAACCTCCGGCTCTTCCCAAAGAGCCGGGACATCCAAGTGGGACATCCAAGCGGTTCCTGCAGCTCAACTCAAGACAGGAAAGGGGACTTCCTTCCAGGGCCGCCTCAGAAAGCAGGAAGAATGGTGGGATGCGTGTTTGAAGTATGGGAGGATTTTGAAAGACATTAGTAGCAATGTGTCTTTTACTATAATAATATCAAAAAATTTAAAATATACGCTATATTTTTTGATCACATTCTGCATTCCTCCCTTTCCCACACCAAAAATTAACTGATAGACAATGTGATCTTTGGCCCACCCATTCTTTCTTCCTTATGGACATTCAGGAAAATAAAGATAGCTTTCCACACAGCCTCAAAATTGTGACTATATTCACTGCTATGAACAATAATTCTTGAATACTAACACTCCAAATCTAAGTTTCCTGTCTTGAAAATGGCCTTATGGCTGTCTGTTTTGTTGTTGTTGTTGCTGTTTTTTGTTTTGGTGTTGGTTTTGGTCTTTGGTTGTTTCGTCTGTGTTTTTTGAGACAAGGTCTTGCTCCACAGTTCAGGCTGGCCTTGAGCTCACTCTGTAGCCCTGGTTGGTCTCAAACTCACAACAATCCTCCTGCCTCAGCCTCTTGAGGTGCTGGGGTTACAGGCGTCCACCACCACATCGGGCTTGGCTGTCCGTTTTTAACCAGGATCCAGTGGAAGATCACTGTCGGTGATGCTTCTTTAAGAACTCGGAGCACAGGACCAGGGCTGGGACCCAGCTTAAGCAGGACGAATCCAGAACAGACCACAAAGACAGAGGTAAGATGGCCACTGGTAGAGACCATGAGAAGACAAGAGAGGTGGGCTGGAACGTGCTGGGTGCTCCAGGAGGAACCCAGGCAAGGTGGCAAGGTGTGGGGACCGCGTGCGGGGAACAAGAGGAAGCTGCTGCCACCCTAAGATTTCCAGCCCCTTCTGTTGGCAGGAGGGTTTGGGAGTCGGAGTCTGAAGCACAGATGTGAGTGGGT